TTCATTAGTGTTTGATAATCTCAGCACACTATTCACATCCATACACAGAAGCATGAAACATTAACAAAAACTTCATTAGTGTTTGATAATCTCAGCACACTATTCACATCCATACACAGAAGCATGAAACATTAACAAAAACATTTCACCACTGTTCATTAATCTCAACATACTACTCACATTTAGAGAATTTTAGAGCATCTTCCAGAGAACAAATTTTAAACTTCAAAGACCTGAATCAATTCTATAACATAAAATTTAATATTAAAAAATATGGCTACATGGAAAAGTTAATTGACATTTAAAAAATAAATTTTCGGTAATTAGTGCTTAAACTTAAAAAATGTCTGAAGGTTTGATAAAAAAGGTTTGAAGAAAAGAATAACGTAAAAATAAAAATATAGCTGCAAAGAACAGCAAGTTGCTATTTTATTAAACTCCATTAGATAAATGTTAAAGAAAAAAATTTTATTTACTGTATCTGCAATAAAACATAAGTAATCATTTTTAAATTGCTTTTAAAATGATTAAGGTTTGTTAAAGCACAAAATTTATCCTTACAAAAATACCTTTACACAAAATAATCTGGCAAAAATTAAACAATCGTATGCTTATAGGCCTTAAATCTGTTTCAGTTCCCTTTAAAAAAAAAATAATATATATATATACACTGATAAACAACATTAGATGTATGGACTTTTCATTCAGCCTTATGACCTTCTTGTTTTCTTCACACACACACACATATATATCCATTATGAACCATGTTTAATCAGAAAAAAACAAATTCAACAAAACTAAATCAATAGAAAGCAGTAGGCTCTTATGAATCAAAATAAAATATCACCAAGTGTAACTTGAAACAGTCATGGGACCGAAAGAATGATCTGAAAATACTTTAAAACCTACAAAATAGTACCTCATTCTTAGAACTCATTTGTCAAGTAACAAATAAAATAGCAGTATAACTTTCTTTTTTGCTCAATATCTTACAAAGAAAAAGTAATTTTTGAAATTATACTGCAAATTCACTACATTCCTGTAAAACTTCATTGTAAATATATATATAAACAGTTTCAACTAAGACTAGATAAAACCAAAATATGTAATAAATGTATCACTTTCCAGGTAAACAATTCCTACCTAATACAAACATTCAACAAAATTAGATTATACTGGTCATATTGAAACGAATTTCATTAGCTGTACAATGTAAATAAAAAAACAAAAAGAAGATAAAATAACAATAAAATAAATAAGGATTAAAACCTAAATAAACTCAAACTGATATATTAACCAAAATACACTGTAAACGTTTTGTAATTCTTAAAATTGTTTTGCTAATATTCTAGTTTCTCTCATCATGTGTTTTGTTTCAAATAAAATAATCGACTTACTAATAATGTGGTTACAAATTAAGAAAGGAACACTTTTCTAGATTATTTTAAAATTCTAACAAGCAAAAATGTTTTACCCTTAATCTACTTTTAAACTTCTAATCAAACATGTTTTAATATGCAAATAGACTTTTGTTTGAAACAGGAAAGGCAACTGTTTCCTGAGTAAGGTTCCTCACCTACAGTGAATGGTAGTGATCTAACACCATATCTACCATAAATAATATATTCACTGTGCAGATAAAGTAGCACAGAATAAATGACACCTCACCATAGTCACTGTAGTAGTAATAAGATAACATGGCTACAGAAAGAAGCCAAACTGTACATTAAATGTTTTGGACTTGCTATTACAGCCTATCAAGAGATTAGATCAAGGCATACAGAGCAGCACATTACATCACACAGAGAGAGCACCATTAAAATATTACTTACTTATTATTTTATATTAAAATCCTATTACTCAAACTTATTTTTGTACACATATGTAGCTGTCACCCCTGGAGTTTTTAGTGACAACTAACCTTAAATCTGAAAATTCTCTATTACACAACTACTTAATCAGTGTATATACATATCAAATAGCCAGAATATTAATACATAGAAGCTTTGTTTCTGCACAACAATAACAGTACCATTATGTAAAATAAAATATATTTACAAGATTATGACATATTCATTGCCATTAGAACTACATTATACAACAGACAATGCAACAAAAGTCTAAGGAAATAATGAGAAACGGTTTATATTTTACTTACAAATGAAATCAATTTGACCTGACTGTTGTATAGATTACAAACGTTAGCATTACCTATCAAAACCAGCATTCATTGTTGTCTAAAAAAAAATCTCCCATGCTTCCATAAAACACATACTACTGTAAATTCATGATAAAAGACTTATGCATTCCTTTTTCAGCATTTTAACAATGCTCATTTCATTCATGCCTTCTCATAGAACAAGTCCCAACATTTCTTAACTTTCGAATTTTCAGTGAGAATTTAAGCAAAATTAAAGCACTTGGGCCAAAATTCACAAAACTTTTTTAAAATTACTCACTTGAATAAATAATCTAACATTTCCATATGATGTTAAATATACTTAAGCCACTAATTTTGAAACTTTTAATAATAAGATTCTGCAATAGCTGTTCTGTATTCTTCTGTTGAGTATATGTTGTAAGTTATAATTATCTGAAAAAAAAAAAATTAGTTTTTTTCCAAAACAACTTTGCATAAATAATAAACAAAATTCTCAACCTAAGATCATCACAGAAAAAATTAAGAGATCAATAGTTCTTAAAAACCAAATATAGCATAGAAATATTTATCCACAAGTCCTTCCTTTACTTTAGCTTTATCACTCGTATTATTATTAATCAGACAGCTTATGGTCTGAGTGAGTTATTAGAAGACTTTACAATGTAACATTTTTTAAAAATCTCCATCCTGTTCATATATCATCTTTAATATGCAAATAAGCTGTGTTACACAGATTTTTATAACATAATTGAAACAAAAAACAAGCAGAGCAATCTTACATCACATACTATAAAAGTATTTCAAAGATTAAATGTTGTATAAATTAACTGTTCACTATATTATTGAAGGTAAGTCTACTGTATACATTATGTAATATAGATGACGTATCTCACATTTCTCTTTCTACACTTTCGTCTGATAGTCCGTATAAACTAACTATACACATTATGTATAACTACTTCAAAGGCTCAAAATTAGTAAAATTCACAGATATTTAGAAACCGATTTAATATAATATAAAACATTTTCAGCGTATTAGGTTTTTCTTAAATGAACGGAGGAACCTGCATTATTTTAAAGCAAAAAAAAAATTAATCATCACATTCAATACATGCATCTGAAATGCACTGTATATCTTGGGATTAACCTAATTCCATTTTTATTCATATTAACTGAACAGCCATGTGGACAATTTTCACTATTTTTCACACCACATAAGTTTGAGAATCATTTTCTTTTTAAAGCTGCACTGTAGAATAGATGATGTGTTCAAAACAGCCTTAAAAAGCTTGCACCATTAGAAATTTACTAATAAAGTCTAAAATTTGCATTTTACATGGTTCCACGGTCTATATGATCATAATTCCATTGCCACAACAGACTCTAGTTTTCATCACAAACATAATAATGTACAGTCTCCCTGATGACAGGAATGTATTTTGAAATTTCATAAGAATAAAATGATAAAAATATTTTTTTTTACATATGGCAACTTTTGTTGTTTTTTTCCTAAGAAAAAATGTTGTTATTCCAACATATACACAAAAACAGGACTAATGAAGATATTTTAAACATAAATATAAAAAATAACACTAATATCACTTATTGGACACTATTGACACTTAACAATGTAAAACTGTTTTGTACTGATCAAAATTACAGAATTACGATATGTCACAGCATTCCAAGGTAATTATAACACTCTCCTTGCTATAACACACCAATGGTTCTTTCAGTTAATTGTAATAAACTTCTCAAGGTATATCACACCATTGACTTTTAAATGTAATTGTAAAACTTTATATGCAACACACCACTGGCCTATTTTGTGTGATTGTAAAATTATCCTTGCTATAACTGATTTAAAACATTCCAGTAGTTTCACCTGTTTTATGTAACTGTATACTGACATTAAAGTTTGATTTTCTGAATGTAATTAAACTGCTGTTTAAAATATCAGCAGGTATATACTGTAGCACAAATTAATTCTTGACAGCTGATAAATATAAAAAGAGAAGACAATGGATAAACAATTCACAACAGCAAATGTTCAGCAAGACAATATTATCTCAAAACATTATTACAGTGCTCCAACAGAATATACAGAGAACAAAATCCCTCATGTGTTTACTGTGGTAATCACAACTGTATTTTAGTTTAGTTTTTATGCATAGGTTTAGCAAATTGTTCACACTTGATTCACAACATCAAATGTTCAGCAAGACAATATTATCTCAAAACATTATTCCCAACAGAATATACAGAGAACAAAATCCCTCATGTTTTTACTGTGGTAATCACAACTGTATTTTAGTTTAGTTTTTATGCATAGGTTTAGCAAATTGTTCACACTTGAATTTCTTTATTAATGTGGAATGTAAAAACAGCAGAGTTACAAACGTATATATTAAAAAAATACAAGTACACCACAAAAAAATGTCCACTTGATCAAATTATTAATAACATACTTCATGGAGTTAAATTACGTTTTCAAAGAAATATAAAATTTTATAGTTTCTGAATTTTCAATGATACTGCAGTTTAAGTCTGACAGCAGTGAAGATGAGAGATAATACATGAAACAGAATGTAATTCTCAGACAAGAATAGTTTTTTAAAAGTTCAAGCAACCAATTAAACATAAGCACATGTAATAATAATTCCTATAATGGTTTCTTGCAAGCCACCAGGAATACAACATTGATCAACGTTATGTTAATTCTGCATTGTAGTGTATAAAGTCTAAAAAGAAAGCTATTTAACATATCGTCGTCTATGCTGGTAAGTAAATGAAGTCTGGAGTCTTGAATTACGGCTTTTATAATGTTCATTGAAGTCCAAGCGGAAGCTGAGAAAGCGAAGATTTGGATCAGTGTGGTCAGCAATCATCAATAAAAACTTCTGTACCATATCCTAAAACAGAAAATAAAACAGCAGTTAAGATGAGTAGTAGCTTCTGCACTATGCCTTAAAAAAGTTAAGATCAACAAAGATTGTTGTATCATATCCTCAAATAAACAAAAACTGAAACTGTAACATGTCCTAAGTATAAAAAAAAACAGAAGTTAACATCAACAGAAACAACTTTGCCATATTCTAAATACAAAAATCAGAAGATAACATCAATGAAAACATCTGTACCATGTCTTAAAATACAAAAAGAACATCAAGAAAAACTTCTGTATCATGTCCTAAAATAAAAAGTTAACATCTTTACCACGTCCGTGAAATAAACAGACTAAAAAGTAAGAGCATCAGTGGGAACTACTTTATCATGCTTTCGAATAAACAGAATCAACTAAAGTTAAAATATTTTCACTATACATTCAAGGATAAGTAAGACAAATGAAAGTTAGCAATCAATAACAATAGGTGAACTAAGTACAGATTAAACCACAAATGGTTAAAAGTATCATTTAAAAGAAACTGGTTTAAAACAAACCTCGAAAACCAGTTGTCAGCAATTTTGGTAGATGTTTATATGATACAGATAAAAATCCATATCATAAAATATAATAAATTGTAATTTAAGATGCAAGATATGCATTACTTGATTAATAAATCACAACTATGTAAACAGAAACCTAAATGTGTAGCTTACAGTTACTATGACAATTAACTTACACTTTGATGCACTGCTGTTTTTTTGAAACAATAATTATATCATAAAATGTATCAGAGTTTATCTAATTACAAATTGGTTTATGAAATTTCTTCCCCAAAAAGTTCAAAACAACATCAACGAATGTGCAGAATTTATGACATTGATAATATAATTATATGATAAAATGTATCAGAGTTTATCTAATTACAAGTTGGTTTATGAAAGTTTTTCAACAAAAGCTCAAAACATCATCAATGAATGTCATCAATTTTGCATGTTAATAACTTTGATGCTATTTTTCAGTGGCAAACCAAGATGATGTTTACATATCAATATTGTGGCTTTCTATGCATCATGCTCTGTATATCCTGAATGGTTTGGTTCATCTTAGATAAAATTATACAACAAAATGCTTATTTTCAAGAGTACATTACAGGAAAATTATTTATTTTTTACAGTTCCTAAAACTTCAATACCAATATTGACTCGCCAGTCTTTATACGTGCTGAAGGTCAATCTGAGAAAAACATATTATGAACAAGTGTTTTTTTTTTGTGAGAAAAAAATGGGACTTCCTCCATTGACTGATTGAAAGAAATATTTCAAAGACAGAAGCATGAACAGAAAAAAATGCATAAAATGGGAAAGTGTTTGAGTCTATACTTGTTGTTCAGTTTATATATATATATATATACACACATTATTACACGGTATTATATACAGCTGCTTAGTGAAGTTAAGTTCTCTATTGTGCTGGATGCACCCATTGCAAGAAAAACCAAAAATTTTTGCTAACAGTGCATTGCAGTCAGTCTCCTTTGATTATAAACAGCCCACTAGACAATCATAATGCATATACGCTATGATCCAAGGGATTGGGTTGACTGTACATTTTATATTTATTTATCACTACTTTTAAGAAAATTACCATTGAATTGTTTCAACAGGCATCTGCTAATTCACCAATATTTTTTTAAGGTTTATACTGATAACAATATATTTGGTACAGCTGAAACATGAGATATCAATTTACAAAAAATGGAAGGACTATAACCTAACATGATGAAGCTTATACTTGAATAATAATAATAATTGTTTTTCATCTGATTCACATTATTAATTAAGCTTGAAGCAGTTAGTTCTAATTCACCTGATAAGAACTGGCTAAGACACACAGCTGTGCTTTGGTTGTAGGTACAGTTTTCTTCTTAAATTCAAGCTGTTTTTGCCTTCTTACTTCAAGTTCTGCTTCTGTAACTCCCCACTTTCCCTGAAAAATGTTTGGAGATGCATATTTAGACTTTTTTTTTAAGTGTTAAAGATAATGAAGTACACATAATAAAGTAGTACAAGGAAATCTTAACATACTGTGTGCTTATATACACCAAGACAAGGACATTAATATATCAATAGTGAGGTTTACATTACTATAAATTTATTTTCTTAAAGCCATACACCTCTTACAATTATCTTAACTTATTATGTTTTTACATTTCCAGCTTAAATTCACATTTTTCCACAACAGCTTGTATCACAAAGGACTATACTGTACAGTAATATTACTTGTTTCTTTGTAAATACTATTTATTATCAAACTTTCTAATACTTCAAAAAGGGCTTAATATAGGAAGAAAGGACATTTTCTATCTGATCAAATTCAGGTAAAATGATGTCTGTCCAGATAACTTTAAAAGTATCCAAAAAATGTTGGTTCTGGAAATGTACTTCAGAGAATATTGTCAAACTCAGACTGTCAGGTTTTATGTATATGGGCTTGGATTCTATACAGTAGGTGTCTGTGATTTGTTGGTGATAAATTCGAAAAATAAACAGACAGCACACAATCCATTTGTTTTAAAATAATATATTCAAAACAAGATAAACATATGTACTCCAAATTCTTTACACTATAAGATATCACAGTTGTATCTCAAACTCTAAATAATTCTCTTGTCAAAAGTCCACACGGGCTGATTCAATTACTTTACAATCCAATTGGTAGACAAATTATTTTTCTCTACTCTCTTTCTTACCATACAATCTGCAATAGATTCACTTACATTACTTCGTGAGTTACCACAGTTGTATCTCTAACTTTAATTAATTGTCTCCTTTTCATCAAAGTCCACACAGATGGGTTCAATTACTTTAGAACATCCTTTGACAAGACACATTATTCTCCTTATCTCTGTTAAACTGTGAAACTCACTTTAAATATTGCCCCTTATGGCTAAACTACCAATCATACAGTCTAACTTTACTTTCATTACCTTAACATTTTTTTTTTACTTGACCTCTTTAGAAATTGCCCATCACAGCTAAACTGCCAATCACTCAGTTTGGATCTATCTAACTATCTCTTACTTAACTTGCGCTCGTTATTCATCCTATATATATATATACACACACATACCTTGTTCACTGAGGCCTCGAACTTTGTATAACCTACATGATGCTATAATGGAACAATACTCACTTGAGTTAACGAGAAAAATACCGAAGATTTGAATAACGTGACGTCAATAATATTACTAAAGCCTAGTAGAACAATCTAACTGCATACACAACATATGACTCATACAGAGTTACGTAATGAAATTTGTCACAATGATGCTTTTGAAACAATTAACCTTCAACACTCCTGTCATGAAAACTAAACAATTATTAAATATTAAGTCACAAAATAAACTAAATAATAATGCTTAAACTAAACAGTCTTGTATATCCAACACAGACAGTAAAAGAAACACAAACAAAAGTGAAGTAAAACAAAATACTCACAAATGTTTCAAAACTATACCCTATACTGAGTGGTCTCTGGTTGCTTGGGTGAGGAGCAAAGACAATAATAACTTAAATCTATGTCCACACAGACTGAAGAAAAAAAATTATGCTTTATCACACAAAATGTTAAAGTGCGTTATACCAACTTTTAACACTGCATACATTACCATCTTTTCAAAATAACTTTTATAAGGAAAGACAAAATCTTAACTCCTATCAATTTGTGCAAGTACCTGTTCCACCCCTTAAGATGAGCTTGCTCCCCCCCCCTGGAAGTTTAGACAAAAAGCCAAAGCCAAACTGATATGACTTTCTAGGCATTTTTCGTAAGCAATCTTTACATTTCTAAAGGATTAGTACATGTTTATTACCTTTCAACATTCAGTTTAACAACAATGTCATACTACATGCAAAATACCTGCAAGTAAATTAAAAAAAAATATGGGAATATACCTGAATAGTGATATACACCTATATATGGAAGGTTAAATTCATGACTACATCAGTCATAATACAAAATGATATGAAAAAAGTTATTTCTTGCACGTACCATTTCAGTTTTTGCATTAACTTGAGACTCTAAGGCTTTATTAGCTGCAATCTCATCCAAACCCTGCTGCCAGAACTCAGTCTGGATATCCTGAAACTTGCTTATTAAATCATAGATAGCACATAACTGTGTCATTACATCCTAAGAAGATACAAGAAAAATGCTGAAAACAAAACTTTCTTTATAATATTATTCAGTTAACTAAAAAAATACTTCCCACCAAACAAACGTTTTATTAGGGAAATAATTTATTGGGATCAAAGTTATGTATTGATTTTCAAACAGAAACTACACAGTAACTTTCTGAATATAAGTGTGCTTTAAACACTAAACCCATGCCAGTTGTTACCATGAAATAAAATATTTAAAAGTTAACTCTACCTTTAGCTTCATATAAATAACATAAAATATTATTTAAGATTTACTTGTATAAGTCAAACAAGATCTTTAAAGGAGCCCAAGTATCTTATAAACAGATACCAGGATTTCCCAATAAAAATAATTAAGTCAAGACGAGTGAAACAACATAACTCCAGACATCACAATATTGTGCTGATCTGATGAAAAATCATGCAAGTTATTTAACATGTTACCATATTCACAACTTCCTAAGTGAGTAGTCCATACAACTTTTTAGGTATTCTAGTGCAAAGAACAGAGCTGTGTGTGTTTTTTTAGTAATTTCATGTATATAAATTGTAAAGTATCCCCATGAAGCATAGTTTATAAGTTTTTTGCATGTTCTACATAAAGCTTTTATTAGTAAATCAAATATTTTTAGGAGTCCTCCTAGTTTTGACTTCACTGTTTGTGGTTTACACCAAAGAACAAACATTATTTCTGAATTTCGTTTTAACCAAATCATTCATTTCCAGGCTTTAACACATATTTTATCATTTTAAAATTCTTTCAATCTTTAAATTAAATTGACACAAACACGTTCAATGGACATTTTATGTGAAGAATCCATGACACAAACATGCCACTTTGATCATGAAACTGTATTAACTATATATTGATTAATCAACAATTGCGATAGTTATGTGCAAGATACAGAAATGTACAGAACAAATCATTATTATTTTTGTGTAGAGTTGAAATATGGAAGCACATCTTTATGAAAGCTTAACTTTGGGCATATTTTTGAGTGTGTTATTAGAATAATAAAATAGGCAATAAAGCATTACCCAGCACAAACTTTCCCCTCAGATTATTGCAATCCTCATGGACAACTCTGGGTGGAATTAAAAAGTTGGAAATTTGCCAGTTGGTGGAAAATTTTCATTCCTAACACTTTTATTACTGCAGAACATGTAGCCAATGCCATAGATTTGTAGAACTGCAAAATTACTAATCAAGAAATAAATTGGAAAGCTCAAAAGACAATAGAAGTTCTACATATGAGAAACAAAAAATCAGCATTCAAGCAATACCAAGAACCATAAACAAGCAAGCTATGGATTCCATTAATCCAGAGGTAAACCAAAATCTACAATCAGATATCAGGATTTTGCATCAGACTCAAGTCATAACATGAGCCATTTTTCACTGCTGTGCATCAACACACCTAAATTCCCACATCACCAGATTGTATTGACGCGATAAAAATCATGCAAATCACCTGAAATGCCTCCATATTCCCAACTTCCAAAACAAGTTGTACACACACCTCTTTAAGTATTCTAATAAACAGTTTTTAGGTACTTTACACACACGTATATATATATATAGATTATCCTATTTATAAAAATATCTACTTTCATATCTACAAGTTCTATCTTAGCTTTTAAAGTCATGGTGGCTTACACTCAAGTCATCACAACAGCCCAAACCAGATATAAAGTTAATTCATTATCTGACCTTTGATTGCTCATCTAATAATGCCCTTGTAATTATACAATCTAAAAATGCTTCATGGGCAGCAATAAGCTGATCCAAGTCATCTGCAGATACAACTTTTTGTTGTAGCTCAGCCCAGGAACATTCCATTACCTATAACAATTAGAATTATAATATACAAAACAATGATATAAAAATTGCATGTGATAAAGTTCTTATTATGTCAGAATACTTAAAACAGCATAACAATTATTTATTGACTGAATACAGAATAAAATACATATGAGAACAGTGTTACAGTGAAGTTCATATCTATAAAGAAATGCAAGAATGTATCTGTTGAACAAAGTGAACTATCTCAGTAAAGATAATGTGGCAATGGTATTAGAGCCTTGTTTAAAGATAATGTAGTACTGTATATAGAAAGAATAACATGAAATAGTGAGACCTACCTCAAAAGTAATGTAGTACTGTACTTGTTGAACAAAATGAACCATCTCAGAGAGGATGAAGTGACAGTAGTGCAAAATAGGAAGTACCCCTAGAATGAAATGTTTCATAAGAGCTATTTTAAAATTAAATACAGATGAAAAACGTTATATACATTAATATATATATATATATATATACAAAAATCAGCTTTTAGTATAAATACTTCTTCATATGTGGTGACATTAATGGTAGACTTGCACAACTATTGTGCAACTGCATTCAAAACTCAATAAGACCTTTTTAAATTTGTTTTAATTTTTTATACAAGAGCAATATTAAAATTATTATTATGTGCACATGTTTTAGAATGATATTATTTTATAGATATCATAAGAAATAATACAATAATTCACCTCTCCAAGTTAAAAATAACTACCTGCCTTTAAATGAATTTTTATGCACAACCCTGTGATATTTTTTCATACCATAAAAGAACATAACAACATGAAAAAAATAAGTCACTTAATTTTTGGATGTACTGTTATTACTGAAGTATAATTTTATACCTCTAACACACTCTTAGAGTACTTTCTTTACTTCAAGCTGAAAGACAGATTCAATCTGAAGTTTGCCATCCTATATAACTCTGTAGGACACAGAGTAGGAGTTACAGATATAAGAACAATTCAGCCCTCTGTATTTTAGTTATTATATTACATCCAGTAAGTACCAAAACATCAATTTCTTTATGGCCAAAGTCAATATCCAATTGTTTTTCAATCTATCATGGCACTGTCACTTTTTTTTCAATTTGTTGATATTTTTACTCTTTTTTGGAATAATGTTTTTCAACTGTAAGTGAATTTTTATAACTAAAATGTTATTATGGTGAAGCTTGACAATGACACGATAAGCTGTTTTAGGCCTACTGCAAGTGTAAACTGAATGTTAAGCTTGTAAGTTACTTGTTTTAACACATATTTATTTTATGATATTATTGAGTATACCTTAAAATAAGATATTTTTATTGTAATAACAAAACCCCGTTACTTATTTAAATTTACTCTGATCTTGATGCACAAGTATGGCATTTGACTGAGTTGAGCAGGACATAATGAAGAGGAAACAGTTTTATATTGTAAACTACCTTCATGCTATAATAAAAAAAACAAACAAACATATTTTGTAGATCAAACAGCTTGAAATTACCCATATATTCATGGATGTGTGCTTTTGGAACAATGACATATAACACAATTTCCATCCATAAAGCAAAATAAAATTCTCTAATCTTAATATATTTTCCATGACCAACTGACCTATCCAACAGTCTTCAGGTATAATTTAAATATTTCAGAAATTTTTCTTTGTATAAATGTACAAGTTATATCATAAATAGGGCATATTTAGGGCAAAATTGTCTGAAACCAACCATTTTGTTAATCCTATGTGCATGTGTAGAGGTCAGTGTGCATGCCTAAGCCTTGTAGAGAGTGACATTCAATATAGAATTAAGAATTTGATGTCAGAGTTATCAGCTTTTCATGTTACCCGACAATGCTGATTTTGCAACAGTTCGTGTTAGAAAAGAGAAAACACTGGATATAATATATAGCAATACTAAAAAAAATTTAGATATGCATTTAGGAGGTTATGCAAATACAATTTGCAAACTGTATAATGGACAGAAATATTTTTATTATTCACATGAACATCATGTTTCACTATGACTTATCAGAGTCGAACTGATTTTGTCATTTCACAGACATATCTTTAGTACAAAAACTTTATTAATACAAGTGATTTTTGTGCACAACAGCCTTGTACATTTTTACTAAAAGCTTGCCAAATTTTATGAAAATACAGTTAATAAATTCAGAGTTATAGTCAATGCAACTTCTCCAATACAGGGTCGATCCAATCGACTGACCCTGTGCACATTCAGTCAAATTTCCCGACATTTTCCTAACTGATGGGAACTAATTACTTTAGTATTTTTTATGTTTTATTTTCATTATGTCAATTGTTCATGCTTTGAAATATCAATCATACAGTTACTCTTGCAAGTGCAGTAAAAAAACAAAAACAAACAATACTTTTCTGACATGGCCTAAAGGTAAAAAAAATATCTGAAAGTTGTAATAACAAAATCATTTTTATAAGACACAATGCACATTACACCTACACTTATTTCCATAATCAAAGAGTACATGTTTTTATTTATTTCCAAACAGTAGTCTACATATGTTTTTAAGTTTTGTACTGAAGACTGAAAGAAGACTGAGTAGTTTAAGTTAGACATCACTTTTTGGTGAAGAATAGTAAAGTAGAACTGATCTTATTCATCATTTAAAACTTTGTGAGTTAAGTTACCTATTCAGTTCAATTACTAGTCTTTGTTCAAAGGTAAAGCTTAGGCAACTAGAGAGGAACTCAGAAGAGCACATACCTCCAACATGCAGCATTGATCATATACTGCTCTCAAAAAATACAAAAATGTGTCCATATGTCCGATGTTATCAAGAAACATGGACCATTTTGGCAGAAAAATGAAGAATAATATTCTACATATGTCCACCAAGTTTCATGAAAATCCAATAATTTTTGACTCAGTTATAGAACAAAGTGTGAAAAATCAGTCCCCATGTTAACGGATAGGATTTTTTTTATTTTTGTGACCTTGCTGTGATCTTGACCTTTGACTATGACCCTCCAAAAACTAATCACTTCTAAGTTTGGGCATAGTCCAAATGTATACTAACTTTTGTCCGAATTTATTCAACAGTTTTCAATAAATCCTGCTGACAAACAAACATACACACAGGTGAAAATACCTTTGGTAGTGGAGGTAACAAATGAAGTGAAATTATAAATTAATTACCAAGGATACTTATACAATCACAGTAAGTTCAGTATTTTTAAACCTGAAGAAAATATATCTTGGGATAAAATAAAGAACACTAGAAAAGACTTACTAACTATATTTCGGATTATTCAGCATTTATTACCAGTCTTAAATAATTGCACTAAAACTGGTTATTAAATGTATCACATTTTCCTAGAACTTATAAACAGGGATTACAAAAGGGCATTTTAGAACACTAAATATTTACATTATTTACTGCTAAGATGATAATTAATATTGGGCTTTTGCCACTTTAACTCATGCTCCAATTGCCAAAATTACAGACCAGTTAAAATACAAAATGATTATTTCATGCAATATTGAGGCAATACTTGTACATATTTGGTTCCACAAAAGCAAATTATTGACTGATCATTTACAAACTGAGTCTTTTAAAAGGTAGATATGAAATATTATGTATGTTCATGCATGAACCTCTGCCTATCTTTCTAAACATTTCTCCAGTTCTGATTTTTTTGTGTGTCAAAAGTTCCCTGGTCACATGATTTTGCCCTCCTGTGTACAACATAACTTTTCAGAATCTATAACGTTAAATAATTTGCAAGAAAAAGTCCTTAATCACTGATAAAAACTGGGAATTTTGCCCTATTCTTGTTCCCCCATCTTTCACGAGATCGTGTCTAGCTCTCTCCAAATGATTTCACATATACAACTAATGTCCAATAAATGAAAAATGCATATTCTAACTCTAAAGAAATGGGTGAAAAGCGCACATCATCAGGTCAGATGGTAACAGATTTAAATTCTATCTCTATGCTGATCCTCTCTGATAACCTTTCATTACACTTTAAGGAGTTCGTGCAACTTTCAAGATGTTCAGATAATTTTGGCTTCAAAAGAAATTTTGTGATTGGTCAGCTGTCTATCTATCAACTGGTTAAAAGGAGCATCACATATCAATTTTGCTTTAACAGATACAACAAAGCAGACATGGCAATCTTAGATTGAGCCTAATAGTACTAGTACATTGTCTCTATTTGTCTGAAATTATAAGAGTTAAAAAAAACAACAAGAAAATCTGTAAATAGTCATTAATATAAACTCATCTATATATAAATTTAAAATGAAATGGCAACATGTCAACAATGACCTTCTAAATATCTAAAGTGGTAGTTAAGGCAACATTGTTTGATTACCAGGTAGAGTTCTCAAGAGACGAGAGTAAGTCATTTGAGCCTGCCACATTCCAGAAAGTATGTATTCCATTCGTTTTGACCTCCATAGGGCATTGAAAAGGCGAAGATAAGCATTCATACACTGAGGAGTAAAAACCTAGGATAAAGAGAATTAAGCCTAAGCACGCGTGAACAACTAAACATTTTAGCTGTGTTTTAACAAAACAAATTTCAAATAGATGAATACCCAAGCTGCTATATTTTTATTGATTATCTTTACTGTTTCAGTTCTGTTATAAAGTAAAGTTGACTTCCAAGCTTCTGATCTTTTCTGTACTTACAGTGCCTATAGGACCATCCACATGGTAATCCAAGCTGAACACATCCCACCCACTGTCTCCTACAGAAGCCTGTAAAATAACCATGAAGTAACACACAAGTAGAAAACGTGTGGTAATCTAAAAAGTAAGAAGAAATGCTTATAGCATAAAAACTAGGGAAGCTCTTAAATGTGTTAAAGAAAAACAAAACGTGTAATAACTACCCAGGATTTTACATCAGAAAACTGTAAGAAAATTGGAAACCAGATTCTTAGAACATAATAAAAAACCCTCCAAATTCTTATCACCACCGTAATTTAAAAACAATTATTAAAAAACTGCAATTTTAAACAAAGAACTAAACATCAACAAATGAAAAATCAAGGAAACTATGTTAATTGAACAAAATAACCTAACACTAAATCAACACCCTGGGGTACCAAGATACCTTTACTCAGCTGTTAAGTAATCTCCAGTTATTCAACCTCTTGTTCCATACTGTGTGTGTATATATTCCTGTGTTTATGTAAACTATTGCACTTGATGATGACAAAATCTTGTCAAAATGTTGAACATTTGTTACTATGTTATATTTGTAATAAAGTTTTCTTCATTTCTCATTCAAGCCACCTTTTGAGCTTTAAAATAAAGACTTGTAAATTAGTTCTGGTGATGTTTTAAGTTAATTATTTGGATTTACTTTTCTGGTGCAAAATGTTATTTCTTACCTCCAGTAGTCGTACATCTAAACGCTGAAGAATGTCAGGACTGTCAAACTGAGCATTTGTGGCACGTATAGCACTTTCAAGTATACCAGATAGGTTGTGGAGGTAGAGCATGTTGGCTGATTTTGGTAGTTCCTCACTGTGTGGATTTAATATAGTTTTACTGATTTGATTTAGTGGTAAATTTACCTACAATTTAGATATATAAACGAGACTTTGAAATAAGATCCAATAATCGTATATATATTTTTTAATTACACAGACTTGAACATCATTTTGCTATGAAACATTACAGATAAATTCATAATTATTTTTCTACTGTATTTCTCAAATAATTAAGGATTTTCAAGACATACTTTTGTTTTGGTCATTTTTCACCATTCTTTGAAGTTCATAATAAAGTATAATTCAACAAAAAAAATCTGAATAATGTTTTTCTCAAGAAATAAAAAAAAGTATACAGTTTGTTTATTACAAGTTTAAAGTATGCTTCCCTTTTGAGAGAATTTTAAAGAAAATATTACAAAAACCTAAAACACATTTTGATTTCAAAATCCTTGTATACATTTTGTGTTGTATATGTTTAAGAGTAGACATGGTGAGATAAATCATAGACCTAAATCACCAGTTATTATAAAACTGAAGTGTAACTTTATATATATATATATGATATTAACACAGCTTCACAAAAGTAAAGAAACTGCTAATATGTAACTCCCATCAGTTTTTACTTTATAGCCACAAATGAAAAAACTTACTGTAAAAGATCCATCAAATGACGAATAAAATCTCCTTGCCCTAAAAGTAGATATCTTCTCATAGCCTACAGGAAAAATAACACATCATTAAACCTATAAATATCAGGAAGAAGTGCAGTTATATTGATAGCTAAAAAATTAATTAAATTTATTATACTACAACATTATAAGTCAAAAACAGTTTACTTGTTAATTTCCAAAACAGATTATTCAATGAACCAGAATCTGACAATGAAATGAATGTAGTTCTTTAAAAACATAACATTAAAAGAAAACTATGGATCTTTTGGTCCTTCTAGGCTGTCTTATCTACTAACTTAAACCAAACATTAAAAAACTCAAAGTTCACCCTTATCATTCAAATATTTATGAAGTTTCCCTTAAATTAACTGCAGCTACCACATCTGATAGCAACAAATTCCAAAGGCTAACCACCCTGTTTGAAAAATAAAGCTGTCTTAGCTGAAACTGACTCCTACCCTGCCATAAGTTATACCTGTGTACCCTAATCTTACCATTTTCACGATTCAATATTAAAAAATATGATGCATCTACACTATCAACTCCCTTAACAATTTTGAACACCTCAATCAGATCCCCTCTAACTCTTCCATTTTCAAGAGAAAACAAGTTCAGAGATCTTAACCTGACAATCTTTCCATCCTAGTAGCCCTCTTCTGAACCCTTTCCAACAATTCAATGTCCTTTTTAAGGCAAGAAACCCAAAACTGGACACATTACTCAAAATGTGGCCTACTCAATGACCAATACAATGACATTATAACCTCTTTAGTCTTGTATTCAATATTTCTGTAGATACAACCTAAAATCCTATTTGCTCTGTTAACAGCAACATAACATTGTTTGGATGGCTAATGAGACTGATCAACCAGAACACCAAGATATTTTTGTTCCATAACACTGTTAAGGTTATTCCCATAAACATTATGCTTGTAATTCAAATTGTGATATCCCACATGTACTACCTTGCATTTATTATAATTAAAAGCCATCTGCCATTTATTTGCTCAACTCACCAAACAATCCAAATCCTTATGAAAAGTTGTAGCATCCTCCTCAAAGCCAGCAACATCCAAAACTTTAATGTCATCAGCAAATTTAAATAATCTGTTGACCATTTCTTCATCTATATCATTGATGTAAATAAATAAGAGCAAATGTCCTAACACTGAGCCCTGAGGTACCCCACTCATGAAATTAAGTCCAGTTTAAATGAACTACATTTAAAACAGCCCTCTGCTTTCTTCCATCTAGCCAGTTTTCTATCAAATGAACCAACCTATCATAATTAACATTACAATTAACAATTACATAATTAACTTACAAAGATAACTTTTTTTTTAACAAGTTTTTATATGTGGCACTTTGTGAAATGCTTCCTGAAAATACAAATACACATATGTACCCTGTTCTACATAAGCAGTAACATTTTCAAAGAATGTCAAAAGATCTATAAGACAAGATTTTCCTCTAGTGAAACCATATTGGCTATCCAGCAGAATTTCAAGCTTTGTTAAATGACTTCATAAGTGTCTTTTATCAGACTTTCAAAAAGTTTTCTCACCATTAGTAGGCCTATAATTACTGGGACAATTTTTATCACCTTCCTTGAAAAGAGAAAGAACATCAGCCAACTCCCAACCTTCTGGTATCTGCTTATTATTCAAGGACTTAGAAGTAAAAATAGTAGCAAGTGGCTCACATATCCAATCCTTAACTTCTTTCAAAACTACTGGGTAAATATTATTTAGCCCAGGAGCCTTATCACTCTTAATCTTCTGAACTGTTTCTAAACACAGTAAAGACAAGATTTATGTTTTTATAAGTTTTATTTTTCATACCCAAGGACATTTTTCTTTATATAAGATTTTCTTAAATATTTGATAATCTACTTAAAGAAACCATACTTAGAAAACCACGTACAAGTAAATGATCAGTGAACTTGTAGTGAGCAAACATAGACTTGAGAACATGACAACTAGTTTCCTTATAGATGGCCTCTAAGAGTCTCTGGAAGTCACTGTCTTGATCTTGATTGAACAATGACTCTACTGAATAATTTGAAAAAAAAACATGATAAATATCTCACAAGAAAACCTCTGATATTAGGATCCTACTGTTCAAACCTCTTAACTTTTAACAACTAACTAATCAATTATCATATGCTCAAAAATATAGAAAAATGACAAGTTATAATACCAAATGGTAACTGTACCAACCATGTACAATAATTTCTTAGACATGCTGCAGTCTAAATCACAAGTTTTGTACTTTGATGTACAGGTCAGCACATTATTAGGTATTCTATAGTTTAAAACATACAAGTTGTGAACTCTGATGTACAAGTCAGCACATTATTAGGTATTCTATAGTTTAAAATATACAAGTTGTGAACTCTGATGTACAGGTCAGCACATTATTAGGTATTCTATAGTTTAAAACATACAAGTTGTGAACTCTGATGTACAAGTCAGCACATTATTAGGTATTCTATAGTTTAAAATATACAGATTATGAGCTTTGATGTGTAGGTCAGCACATTATTAGTCATTCAATTATCTAAACTATTAACTGTGATATCTGATGTGCAGATCAGCACATTATTAGGCATTCAATAATCTAAACTCTTAACTGTGATATCTGATGTGCAGATCAGCACATTATTAGGCATTCAATTATCTAAACTATTAACTGTGATATCTGATGTGCAGATCAGCACATTATTAGGCATTCAATTATCTAAACTATTAACTGTGATATCTGA